CGCATTCCGTTGTTGTAGATCACTTTAGCAGGATCGAGACTAATCCCTTCTTTTTGGTAGACGTCTGCAATAAATTGGGCTTTTTCTTGGTCAGTGCGGCATTCCGAAGGGTAACCACTACTTTCCATTTTAGTTTTTAAGTAGTGGTCAATGTATCCCGTGAACAACCCTCCCGTTTTGGTCTGAGTGTCGTACTGACTCCATTTTTCTTCGGCCCAATGCCACACTTCGAAGACTTGAATGACTTTATATCCCAGAGAAGCGGCTTTCTTCAGTTCGAGGGACACGTAGGTGCCGACCAAGGCTCTTTCGTCGTCGGAATGGGCACAGGGCACGTATTCGCTAATCTCAGACTCCTGCATATTCTCCATAATACAGGAACGACAGAGTGGAAACGTGGTTTTGTTGTTCCATCTGAAAGGCAGAACGGGGTGGTAGAGTCGTCTCGGTGGTACGACTTTACATTGTATCAATCCCTCGTACTGTTGCCAGTTCTGTTGATCTGGTGAAACGACGATCTCGGGTTCGTTGATAGGGAACCTACCATATTTGCAAATGTATGGATACAAGGATACCACGTCCAAGTATCGGATTTCTTCGTTCTCTTTAGGCACGGCCATCAGTTGGATGGCATTGGTCCTTCCGCCGAAAAAAGCGTCTCGGGGAAAGAGTGGTTCGGGATTTGGCCATCCGTTGGTTTCCAAAGCGTGGAAAAATTCCTCCATGTCTTGGTTGGTCCGTCTCCGCGATTCCACCTGACACTCCCAAACGGTCACGAGGTCCCTCAGACCGAGCTTGGTTTTCAAATCATCGAGTCGTTGCATGGTTTGAGCGTACAATTTTCTCATGGTTCGTGAGGGGTCGTAAGGGTGGAAATGTTTGACGTCTTGAACGGGTCCAGGATAGCACGTGGGACAACCGTGGAAGGCACAACCAAAAAATTCGTAGGCGACGTTGTTGTCCCGATCATAACCATCCAAACTGTACGGTCCAACTTTTATTTCTCCTCCATTGCCTGCGTGCCTGATGTTGGGTTTGGTCGTTCCGTTCCGTAATGAGGCTAAAAATCGAGTATGTTGTTCCCATTCTAACCATCTCAATGCTTTGTTGGACTGCTGTCGGGGTTGGAATCGCCGCCAATCTGTACCCATTCCGGAATTCTGCATCAATGCTCTAGGAATGATGGAAATAGTGTCCAGGGGCAAATAATGCGTTCGGTACACTCGATTACACGCCGCTGCCAACGTCATGCTCGAGGCTAATGGATCGATTCCGGTGTCGTTAAGGAAGATGCGACGAAACTCTCCACAGCTTCTTCTCAAAATATCGACGTCGCTCTGGCAATAGGCTAGAATTCTCT